ATGATGCTCATCAATTGGAGAATATCTGAGCAAATCGTGATATATGACTGTGAAGGAATATTTTGTGTTATAAGTAATGATGAACAGAATGCTTTTAGAGAAACCTGGAAAGACATATAAACTGATGCAAAGTGAAGTGAGCAGAACCAGGCGAAAAGTGTATACAATTACAGCAATGTTGTAATGATGATCAACTATGTAAGACTTAGCTACTTTAATACAATCCAATTCCAAAGGTTATATGATGAAAAATACTATCTCCCTCCAGAGAGACAACTGACAGAGCCTGAATGCAGATTGAAGCATAATTCTTTCACTTTCCTTTTCTTGTCTTTTTTTTTTAAACAACATGGCTAATATGCAAATATGTTTTGTACAATTTCAAATGTGTAATTAATATCATATTTCTTGCCTTCTCAATGGGTGGGGGAGTGGAGGGAGAAAGAATTCCTAATTGGAAAAGAATTTAAATATAAATGTTAAAAATATACAAACAAAAATTAAAAAAAGAAATACAAGGAGAAACTACAATGAGTGCATTTTGCAAGCTAAAGTCTATGCAAATAGACTGCCAGAAGCCTTAGGACATTGGGAAAGGCATTTTACCAGAAAAGCCTGCCTGGCCCACAGCACACAGAAGGCCTATAGTGCAGAGATCAAGGAAAAGCCATGGATAACAACAGCCCATGGCTGTGGGGTGGAGTCTGCAAAGTGGAAGCCTAGACCTGGGTCTAACCAAGGATGCATGAAGCCTGATACTGTGGTGTTCAGAAACCTGCAGGACTCCATGAGGGAGGACAATAATATAAGCATGCCCTGAATCAGACTGCCCTGGCTAAACATTCCTGATGTCCTTGAGAAACACAGCACTCTAATGAAAAACAAGATGATGATGAGAATGATAACGAGCACTTTTTTATTAGATAAGTGAAACAAGAGAAAAGAAAAGGAAACGAAATTGGAGTTTTGGATGAAGAATTGGAATGAGAATGGACAGATTATTTTAGGAGATACAAAACATTACTGAGGTAACAGTTTCTCTGAAAATTGCATTGTACCAGAGAAAGATTAATAACTTGATGATACACTAAGAAACACTAAACCAAAATCTGAGGACTGAGAAATGGTCAGAAAATGTTAGCTATTTCCTATCAAAAACAACTGACCTGGGAAATAGGCCATGGGAAGCATCTAAGAATCACTGGACAATAAAAAAGGCATTCATAGCAGATTTTTAAAAAGCACAAATTAATACTGCCCAAACCTAGCTGAACCAGAAAACAAAGTAAAAAAAGAAAGAATAAAGTAGTCATTTCCTGAGAGAATTCCCAAAATGAAAATCCCTAGGAATATCACAGCCAAAATATCTAGAATGTCCAAGTTTAAAACACACACACACACACACACACACACACACACACACACACTCACACACACACACACTACAGCCAGATAGCTAGAAAATGTTCATCTAAAAAGGGGCAAAGGTTAGGTACACAAGACCAGACAACTACCACTACAATGGAGAGGAAAATATGGAATGCAAATACCAGAAAGCAAAATATACAGGCTTACAATCAAGAAAGATTTACTCTGGAAAGCTGAGTCTAATCTTACCAGGGGAGGAAGAGTGAAGGGGAGGAGGGGGAGGAGAAAGGACTTTTAACAAAATAGAAAACATCCTACTATTTCTCATGAAGAGACCTCAACTGAGTAGATAATTTAAAAAAGCATACACAGGAGTCGAGAGATAAAAAAAGATGAATATATCTTTTTAAAAGAGAAGAGATCAAATAAAGAAAAAATATAACAGGAAAGGATGTAGAGAAGTTAATCATTGTAAAGACAAATATGATAATGTATGATATTCACAATAAACTCAATGACAAACAGAAAAGGTTGGCAGAATGATTAAGAAATCAGAATCCAAAAAAAAATGCTATTTACAAGAAACATATTCAAAACAAAAATATTTACACTGTATTAAAGTATTAAAAAATAGATTTAATTATTTAAAAGGGGTGAACAAGGAAAATGCAATGTTTAAAGGTATCACAGAAAATTAATTACTATCTATATATGTGCCAGATGGCATAACATCTAAATACCTAAAAGAAAATGTGACTGATTTGTTTATTTATTGAATTAATTGATTAATAAGTTGATTTATTGTAAAAATCATGTGGGTAAAAGTGAAGGATTATAATGTACCACTCATTCTCTGACCAACACAAATCTAACCAAGATGTGCAATAAAGTTAAGGACCTAAATAGATTTTAGAAAGTTCAAAATGATAGATTGCTGGTGGCTATTGAATGAAAAAGGAAAGAATAAACATATTTTTCAGCATGATCATTATTTCAAAAACTGACCATGTACTAGGCAGGGGTAGGGAACCTGTAGTCTTAAGACTACACATGGCCCTCGAGGTCCTCAAGTGTGGCCCTTTGACTGAATCCAAACTTCACAGTACAAATCCCCTTAATAAAAAGATTTTGGGGAGCAGCTAGGTGGCGCAGTGGATAGAGCACCGGCCCTAAAGTTAGGAGGACCTGAATTCAAATCCGGCCTCACACCAACACTTGACACGTACTAGCTGTGTGACCCTGGGCAAGTCACTTAACCCCAATTGCCTAAAAACCAAAAAAGATTTAGTCTGAAAGACTTGGACTCATTCAAAAGGCCACACCTGAAGACCTAGAAGGCTACATGTGGCCTTGAGGCTGCAGGTTCTCCACCCCAGTACTAAGGTATAAAAACCTCACAAATGCAAAAAAAAAAAAAATCAGAACTATTAAAACATTATTTACTGATAACAATTCAATACAACTATATTCAATAAAGGGGTCTATAAAGAATTAAAAATTTATTAGTGATTAACTTAATCCTAAAGAATCACTAAGTGAAAGAACAAAGCACAAGAACAACAGAAAATTTCATGAAAGAAAATGAGATACCATACCAAAAGTTCTGGAATGCAGCCAAAGTGGCAAGTGTTTACTTCTCTAAACAATTTCATCAACAAAGAAGAGAAAGAACAGATCAAAGAAATGGATATGAAATGAAATGAAAGAAAAAAAATCTCAACTAGAACTTTTAAAAACCAACTAACCAACTAAAGAGCAAAAAAGATATTCTGAAAATCAAAGACAAGAAATCCAGCCTCAGACCAAACACTTGTCACTTACTGGCTGTGTGACCCTGGGCAAGTCACTTAACCCCAATTGCCTAAACCACCCCCTCCAAAAAAAATCAAAGACAAGATTAATAAAGATAAAAAGAAAAAACCCATTAAATTGAGAAATAAAAGATTACTGCTTGAAGGGAAAAAACAATAAAACAGATAAAATATTATATAATTAAAAAGTCTGATTTTTTAAAAAAGAGAACTTATAAAAAAAAACTTCCAGAGTCAGGAAGTAAAAAGAAATTTTCACAAAGAACAAAGCAATTCATTAGAAAAAGATTTTTCTCAAGTATATGACAACAAAATTTACAAAAAGGAATGGTTATCTTCATAGTTAAAAAAATACCCAGATTATCAAAACAAGAATTTAAATAACCCAATATCAGAAAAAGAAATTGAACAAGTCATAAATGACTCCTGAAAGGAACCCTCCATCACCTCCAGGATCATATGGATTCACAAGTAAATTCCAATCAATATTTAAAGAACAATCTAGTCACATGTTTCTATGTCAGAAATGGATATGGTTTTAAAGAATGTATTCACATTATTTTAAAACTATTTCAACAGATCAAGAGTTGTTCAGGTGCCATAAAAAACAAATCCACCATAGATACTGCAAATTACTGTTTTTCCCTAAAAACTTTTGGAGGGAGATTAATAAAGCACTTTATATAAAAGCCATGTTTCCCACATTTTATTCTTTCTATATACTGAGCAGAGTAGAGAAGTGAATAAGACACAGACTGAAGTCAATGCAAAGAATTAGATCTAAATTGTGATCTGAGGTAAACAGCCAGGAAAATTAGTGGACTCCAGAAGATATACAAAGGAACTGGGGGATGTTTCAACCTGCAAAAGAAGACTTAGGCAGGGTATAATGGCTATATTTAAGTATACAATGAAAGGTTTTCATGTGGAAGGTGGCCTGGACTTGTTTTGGATGAATCCAGAGAACAATGAATGGAAGCTATGTGGACACTGATTTTGGATCTATGCAAGAAAAAATGTTAACACTTAGAGTGGTTCTAAATCAGATGGTCAAATTTCATTGCTTAAAATCAAATTGGAATTTTAAAGCATTTACTCATTCAATGGCAATTTCCCAAACATTCATAAATGTCACAGCTTAGACATGATGAATTAGTGAGCATTTACACATTTAGATATGAATCTACACACATGATTATCTATTCATTGATCATAACAGCTCACATTTTCTACAGTACTTTAAGATTTACGAAGCATTTTCTTTACAACAACCTTGTGAGGTAAACTGAGGCTCAGAGAGGTCTGCCATCATGTAGTTATTTAACTAGTGGCAGAGCTGGGACTTGAGCACAAGCTTTCTTACTCCAAGTACCTCTGCCATTATTGTCAGCTCCTACTTATTTTGATAAGTGGCTAAACATTTTCTTACTGAACCCTCTTGGAATTATTTATTTTTATTTATTTATTTATTTTAGAAAACTGGGGTTAAGTGACTTGCCCAGGGTCACATAGCTAGTAAGTGACAAGTGTATGGTCTGAGGCCAGATTTGAACTCAGGTCCTCCTGACTTCAAGGTCGATGCTCTATCCACTGTGCCACCTACCTGCCCTGAAATTATTTTTTATAACTTATACATCTATGCTTTTCTTTTTTTTTTTTAACTGAAAGACCAGAAAATACTAGCTTGGCAATCTTCTTCAGACAAAGATGCTAATTTCTGAAATTAAAATAGGATACTGTTGCATGTATTTTGGGAGCTATGGAGAAATGTAGGGCAGGGTGTGGGAGAGAAGAGCTGTTTAAAAAAAAATGCAAAAAAACCTTGTTTAGTTGTTTCTCCATCTTTTTTAGTTTCTTCTTCCTCTAGGCTGGGGCTTTCTCGGGAGGAGGGATCCTGTTGGCTAGAGTTTTTCAAAAGTGCAGGATCTATTTGAGCTTTCAGGAGTTCCAGAGTCTCCGCCAGTTCATTTCTATTTCTAAACAAGGCAAAGAAATATGACACCATGAAAATCCATTTTTCTGCTCACAAAAGTTATTATTCTACTGATTTTTATTTAAAACAGCACAAACACCACCACCGCTGATCCTGTCAATTGCCTCCTTACAAGATAAGTATTCAAAAAAGAACTCTTATTTCAATCTAATTCTTCATCGTTGTGGCTACGTCTACCACCAATGCAGATCCTACTCCTCTAACACTTAGTGAACAATATTTATAAGTTGATATGGCTGAAAAATTAAATCATCTCTTGATTCATTATCCACTGACCACTAGTATTTCTGAGCTGGGCTAGGCTGAGCAATACGCAAAGGCAGCTTTGCAGGACAGTCCAAGAAGCTTGCATCCAAGCAGTACAGACCTCCATGTTGTAGTGAATTGTCAGAACAGGACTTCAGTAGAGGTAAAAAGAGTGTCTGCAATTATACTATACCCTCTTAAAGCAACCTTGTGACATGGGAAATGAAAGTAATTATTAAATTCATTCAGTAGAAGAAGAAACAGAAGCCAAGAAGTTAAGGAATCTTCCTAGATTACAACTGTCTAAATAAATCAATGCTTCTTTTTTTAAAAAATATTTTTCCCCAATTACATATTGACAATTTTTGACATTCATTTTTACAATTTTGAGTTCTGAACTCTCTCTTTCCCTTTCTCTCCCCCTCATTCCCTGAGACAGGAAATAATTTGATATAGGTTATACATGTGCAATCATGCAAAACATATTTCCATATTAGTCATACTGTGAAATAAACACTGACAGAAAATAAATAAGAAATATGAAAAAAAAAAAAGAAAGAAAGTGAAGAATAGTATGCTTTGATCTGCATCCAGATTCCATCAGTTCTTTCTCTGGATGTGGATAGTACTTTTCATCATGAATCTTTTGGAATTATCTTGCAGCACTGTATTTCTGTGAACAGACAAGTCAGTCACATTTGATCATCATACAATATTGGCTGGTATTATGTGCAATGTTGTCCTGGTTCTGTTCACTTCACTTTGTATCAGTGCATGTTATGTCTTTCTAGGTTTTTCTGAAATCATCCTGCTCGTCATTCCTTATAGTACAATAATATTCCATTACATTCATATACCACAACTTGTTCAACCATTTCCCAATTGATGGGCATCCCCTTAATTTCCAATTCTTTGCCACCACAAAAAGAGCTACCATAAATATTTTTGTACAGATAGGTTCCATCCCCTCCTCCCCCCGCTTTTTAAAAAATCTCTCCGGGATACAGACGTAGTAGTGGTAATGCTGAATCAAAGGGTATGGACAGTTTCACTGTTCTATGGGCATAGTTCCAAATTGCTCTCCACAATGGTTGGATTAGTTCACAACTGGTATTTCTTTCTCAACACATACTTATTAAGCCACTTACCTCTCCCTAAGAACCAGGGTGACAAAGGGCTACCTGACTTAGAAGAATGAATTTAGGATCCCCTTTGAAAAGAAATCTATATCAAGGAGAACAGTAGTATTTTAGTTTTGGATTTTATTTTGGACAGAAAACAGCCAAAACAAAACTAATTCAGAGCTTTATAACAAGTAAAAGGTTAAAACAGGATAATGGACTCTTAATATGCTGCCACCATAAAATTTTCTTTAAGACATATTTACAATGATTCATCTTCTCTACTCATTTAGAAAATCAGGAATTCCAAAATGTCTTAATTCAAGCAATTCCTAATATCAGAATCAGAATGCAGAGTGTCTGAAGTACCTGCATAGTACCTGCATTTACTAAGGGACTCCATGATCTACAAACCCAATTCACTATTTTTTTTTTTAGCAGTTAACTAAGCTTAAATTTATGAATTTAAATTCATCTCAACAAGGACCTGGTACTGTTTTTATGGCTATATCCATCAGCAAAGAAATATTTACTGAGCACCTACTATGTGCCAGGGACTGTGAATACAAAAAGAAACAAAGACAATCTGCAACTTCAAAGAGCTCGCAATCTAATGAAATACACAACATGTAATAGGCAACTATGCGTGAAAAAGTTACATATAGGATAAATACGAAATAATTAATATTGAGAAAACAGTGAAGTTAAGAGGGGTTGGGAAAGGTTTCTTGTAGAAGATTTTAGTTTGGACTTAAAGGAAGTCAGGAAGGTCAGTAGTCAGAGGAGCGGAGAGGAGAGATAGCATTCCAGGCATAGGAAACGGCTAGAGAGAATGCCAAGAGCCAAGAGATGGAACAGCCAAGAGGCCAGTGTAACTGGATCAAAGTACATATTGGGGAGTGAGGTGTAAGAAGACTGAAAAAGTAGGACACAGCTAGGTTATAAAGGGCTTTGAAAGCCAAACAGAAGATTTTGTATTTGATCCTGGAGGTGACAGGAAGACACTGGAGCTCACAGAACAGATGGGTGACATGGTTGAACCTGCATTTTAGGAAAATCACTTTAGTGACTGAATGGAGGACGGATTGGAATGAGGTGGTACTTGAAGTAGTCAGGGTACTGTCATAATCTAGGCATGAGGGAATGAGAGCCTACATCAGAGTCGGAAGAGAGAAGGTGGTCTATTGGAGAGATGTTGCAAAGGTGAAATCTACAGGACTGTGGCACCAGACTGGATTGGAGTGGAGGGAGAGATGGTGAAGAGTTGTGAAGGACACCCAGGAGTCTGAAGTTTGACGGCATGGTATTGCCCTCTACAGTAATAGGGAAGGTAGGAGGAGGAGAAGGTTTAGGGTAGGGGTGGGGAGCCTTTGGCTTTAAGGTCACATGTATTCATCTAGGTCCTCAAGTGTGGTCCAAACTTCACAGTCCCCTTAATAAAAGGATTTGTTCTGTGAAACTTGGACTCAGTCAAAAGGCCGCATCTAAGGACCTAGAAGGCCACATGTGGCAGGTTCCCCACCCCTGGTTTAGGCGGAAAGATAATGAGTCTAGTTTTGGATATATTGAGTTTAAGATGTCTATCGGACATTCAGTTTGAGATGTCTAAAAGGCAGCCGAAGATGCAAAATTGGAGGTTAGGAGAGAGGTTAAGGCAGGAAAGGTAGATTTGAGAATCATCAATAAAGAGATGGTAATTAAATTCATGGGAGCAGATGAGATCACCAAGTAAAGTAGTATAGAGGGAGAACAGAAGAGGATGCAGGACAGAGTCCTGGGAAACACCTACAGTTAGAGGGGATGATCTGCATGAGGAGTCAGCAAAGGAGACTGAAAAGGAATGATCTGATAGGCAGGAGGAAAATCAGGAGGGTGATGTCCCAAAAACCTAGCGAGAAGAGAGTATGCAGAAATGCTATCCATATCCAGAAAAAGAACTAAGGAGTCTGAATGCAGATTGAAGCATATTATTTGCGTGCTCTCTCTCCCTCTTTTTTTTTTGTTTCTTCTTTCTCATGGTTTCTCCCACTGGTTCTAATTCTTCTTTACAACATGAGTAATGTGAAAATAGGTTTAACATGAATGTATATGTAAAGCTTATATAAAATTGCATGCCATGTTTGGGTGGGAGAAAGGGAGAAATGGGCAGAAAATCTGGAACTCAAAATATTATAGAAGTGAATGTTAAAAACTAAAAGTAAACTAATAAAAAAAAAATTAAAAAAAAAAAGAATAAATATCCTTAAAAAGATATGTTCAGTAAAAAAAAAGAGAGAATCTAGGAGAAGAGGATGATCAACAGTGTCAAAGGCTGCAGAGATGTGGGATGTGGACTTAGAAAAGGCCACTGATTTTGGAAACTAAGAGATCACTGGTTACTTTGGAGAGAGCAGTTTCAGTGGAATGATGAGTTTGAAGAAGTAAGAGGACAGGTGAGAAAGGGGAGACACCTATTTCAGACAGTCTTCTCAAGGAGTTTAGTTACAAAGGACAGAAGAGATCTAAGACAATAGGTAAGCAGGGATGGGTCAAGTAAGGGTTTTGGTTTTTTTTCCAGGATGGGGAAGATAAGGATACATGTTTGTAGGCAGGGGCTAGTAGAGAGGGAGAGATGAAAGATAAATGATAGAGTAAAGATGAAAAAGAGGACAGACAACCTGTTAGAGGAAACAGGATGGAACAGAATGACTTGTACGGGAAAAGGAGTTAGCCTTGGTAAGGAGTAAGGCCACTTCTCTGTGTGAGATGAGGAGGAGATAGTAGCTGAAGGCATCTGAGTGATACAAGATGAGGAAGCAGGAAGAAGTGGGAGCTCATGGAGAAAGTCCTTGATTTTTTCTATAAAATATGAAGTAAAGTTCTCAGCTGAGAGTGTAACGGGAAGGGGGAGACATGGGAGGTTTGAGAAAGGATGAAAAGATTTGGAAAAGCCACTGTGGAAAGTGGGATAGTGAGTTGACAAGGAAGGAATAGAAAGATTGCCTAGCAGCAATGAGGGTACAAGTGAGATTGTGTAACATAAATCTGCAGTGAACCCAATCAAAATGTTTGTGTAATTTTCTCTACCTCTGCTCAAAAGCATGTATGTAGAAGTGAAGACAGAAGATAGTGGGAGTTACCCTAGGCTAAGGTTTGGCAGAGCACAACTGGAGATAGGATAAGGGGCCAGAGATTCAAGAAAAGGTTGGTGTAGAGTTGAACTGGTTAACCAAGAGGTCAAAACGGGGAGAAAAGGAAAGAGTGGACAGTGTAGGGAAGAAGGCCTGGGAAGGAACTGAGGGGTCAAAGGATTGAAGGTGATGGTGTGGATGAAGAGCAGAGTTTGTCAAAGGAAAACAGAGAAAGAGGTAGAAAGCCAACAGATTGTGGTCAACTAAGGGGATTCTGGTACACAACACTTAATTTTGAACAGTACAAAAAAATTTCACTGAGATTAATAAGAGTCCTGTGTCTGACACATAGTAAATACCTAATAAATGCTTGTTGACTAATAGAAGGATAGATCAACAACAAAATCAAAGGCCCAGACGTGTGGAGCTATGTCCTTGACGATACAATGTTATCTCTTTTTTATGGGGGAAGAAAAGAAGGTGAAGAGGGAAAGAAAGATGTTGCCAAATGTCAGAGATCCAAGGACCCCACTGCACTCAACTTGAAAGCTGTTGGGAAATGAGTAAAATTATTTTCTTCTAAGCTCCTTAGAAATAAAAAGACTACATTTCTGGCTTTGTCATTAATTAGCAGGGTGACCTTAGGCAAGTCACTTAATCTTTCTGGGCTTCAATAATAAGAGAAATTTGCCTTTTCATATATCACATTTTATTAAATCAAAACAGGAGTTTTTCACCTTTTTTGGTGTCTTAGATCCCTCTGGCAGAGTCTGGCAAAGCTTATGGACCCTTTCTCAGAATCACGTCTGTTGCCTACATTCACGACTGAAGGAAATACTAAATTTCAGTTAGATGTTTATTAGAAATAAAGATGTAATCTCCCTATCCAAGTTCACAAACTCCTTGAGGGTATGTGGACCCCAGGTTAAAAATCCTTGATCTCCAAACACAAAGATGGTATGTTCAATCTAATATGAGGAATGACAGATGGATATGGTAAAGTATCATAAAAATCTCCTTTGTTTTATGCTATAAATTGGGAACAGATTACTAACAGTTCTTTGGGATTTGGCTGCTTACCTAAGCATAACAACCTAACTCTACCATCGTCTGAAAGAAGTGGCTTTGGAAATAAGTATTTTTAGTTAATTTATGTTACATCTGTTATAAGGGAATAGCTAATGTACTCAGGTTCACCATAGGATCACCTCAAATAAAAACGCACACTCAAAATTGCAGTGTATTTCTTTTTTTTTTTTAATTTTTTAAAAATTATTTTGAATAACATGAACATTTCTTTATACAAAGAACAGAAAAATAGGACTGACTGTACTTGACATCAATATTATGCAGAGTTTAGCATTTTAAAATATACATTAGATATAACATAGTAGTCCTAATATTGCCTTACCTGTCTGTATCCCTTTCTGAACCTCTTTCTGCTTACCATGAATTTTTGTAATGTTTCTTTGTTATTTTCCTTTCTGTTACTCTTTTGTTATTGTCATCACTATATGTCTTCATCCCTCTACAAATCTCCCCAAACTCAAATATAAGTCTTTCTTTGTAACAAATATGAAGGAAAACAAATCCACACATTGGCCATCACTAAAAATGACAGTATGCCTCTTTAAAATGTTCACTTAAAAAAAATTGTTGAACTTCAATGGAAGAGTGCACAGAAGTAAATGTAAGCTAGAGGTGTCTGCCTTTGCATAATCACTGAATTCTGAATAGCTGAGCTTCTAGCTTCTAGTATGGAAAATACAAACATAAGGAGAGATTCAGGATAAAGACTGTAATTACTATATGTAAGAAAACCAAAAAATTCCCCAAGTCCTCCGTCCCCCCACCACAAAAGGCAAAACACAAGTTAGGATTTTTCAGATTCATGTGTCAAGTTAAGAAGTTGAACTTCTGTAAAATTTCAACACATAGAAAGAATGCTGCCAAAAGGAAATGGGCATAATGAAACCTTCCATGACACTCCCATGGAGAAGTGATTCTTCTTTCCTCAAATCTCTTTTGCCACTGTTAGACCACTTCAAAGCCTATATTTCAAAATGCTTTACAATTAACTATGTACATGTATTAGTGCTCCATGAGAACAGGTGCCATATGTTTTATCTTGTTCTACCCAGAACCTAACACTGGGATAGGTATATAGTAGCCATTTAATAAACATCTGTTGAACTGAATTTAAGCAGGTAATTTTTTAAAACAACAAATTTGAATTATGTACATGGGAAGGAACCAATATAGAACTTTTCTCATATAAACGCACTAATTTGAACATTTGTATCTTTAAAACATGCAATATATTAAAATAAAATTTTAATATTTCTATTTCTAAGAATAATTTTTCGGGGAAAAAAGAACTGTATATTGACAAAAATTTTACTAGCAAAAAATTTATTTGAAACAATAAAAAACGTACCTGACGATACATTTCCATGAAGACCCATCTTGATCATCTTGTTCTTCTATGTACATTCTGACATTATGATCTTGATCCAGCTGGTACCAATACATGAGACCATCTTTGTCTCGGCCAATTGGCTGGAGGCGCATGGCATCAGCATCCTCCTCATTAATAATGTTCTTAAACTTCAGATTGTCATCAAACTGACATTCACAGAGGTACTAGAAAAAATTGTAATGTGGATTTAAATATTGCATCTATATTTTTCCACCACAGTAAGAAATAATAAACAAAATGCTTATCTCTTTTGAAGATGTTCCATCTCACAGTTTTTGTTTGCCTTACAATAATGAAAAAGTAACAGTCCACATATCGTTACTTAAGGTTTCTCAAACACTTTCCCCACAAAAACAATGGAAGAGTGATAGTACAAAGACTCAAAGACTAGTCCACAGGCACAGAGCTAAGAAATATCCCAGCTGGGCCAGATATGACTGCAATACTGAGAATCAAACGTCATAGCTCACTTAAGTAGATAAAATGCAAGTAAAAATTCTGTATTTATCATTACTTAAAATGGTAAATTTAAATAACCTCATACCATACACAGCCACGTATGGCTGGGTGATCATACAGCATCACAATTTCAAAAATTTCCGACTGTCACCAAAATCTTAAGTAAAATTTATGGACAACACACATATAGCAAAATCTGCTTCTAAATGATTAAATGATCTTTTTTTTTTATACAGGTAACCTTTCAAAAGCTGTTTTTTTTTTAATCTTTTTTCCCCCCTTTTTTAGGCAATTGGGGGTAAGTGACTTGCCCAGGGTCACACTGTTGGTAAGTGTCAAGTGTTTGGTCTGAGGCCAGATTTGAACTCAGGTCCTCTTGAGTTGAGGACCGGCGATCTATTCACTGAGCCACCTAGCTGCCCCCAAAAGCTGTTCTTTAAAACCTAACACATACTCAGTCTTTCAAAAAGATATTCATTCAGTAGATGTTGTCTTCCATTAATTCTCTTAATGAAATGATACTCACTCATGTCTAATTTTTAACGTCATAAAAATAGCTGACACTTTTCGTTTAAGTTTCAGCATACTGTCAGGGTCTACCTGGACCCTGAATCAGATTCCTTCTTCAAGTCTCCTAAGAAATGTAGTTCATGCCCTGGTCACCCTGCTTTCTCCCTGTTCTAGCCTACTATGTTTTTGTGCAATGGCACTGTCTGTGAGATTTGATAACTGGCCAACTCAAGCTATTAGGAAGCAGACAGCCCGAAAGGGTCAAGAAATACATCGCCAATCTTCCTGGTCTTGTTTGATGTCTGCTTCCAGAATTCTGCTATATAAGATTTCTAAAACAAATTCTGTGATTCCTTGTATTTGATACTGGCCCCAAATTGGAATCTGATTCTACTACATCTTCTTGTTTCCCTAGAAGAGAACCTAACAGATGATCAAGTCAGTCTATTACTGTGTGGGAACAAGGGAGTGACATGTACTACGTATCTAACATAAGCTAATCCCTGAAAAGTAGGATGTTTACATACATAATTTAAGAATAAGTATTTAATCTTGGGGTCCTTTGATCATTCAACCTATTTATAAAAAGCTTCTAATTTCAGAAGCAGTTAACCCTTCCTTAACCAGTCTGTGGAAAGGGTTCTTCCTTCACTCTGCTGGTCATTTCACTCTTCAGTAGCCCTACATGGGAAGGAGGGCAAGGAGAGCAAGCAACACTCCAACTTGGATTTGGACTTTCTAGCAATTTTATTTAAAGTACAATGAGTCTACTCAATTAGGGAAGAACAATTATTTCAAGTTATTAACCCAGTACGAAAAGCAATATTAATAAAGTTTTGCTATACACATTAGCAATTCTTGAGAAGGCTGAAGTGAATTTGAAAATGCATTTCTATCCTTTCTATCACCATCCTTGTAAGCTTACATAATTGAAAAAGGCTGGATTTAGAAAGCAATCAAAAACCACCTAGGTTAAGAATAGTTTCTTCTGTTCTCCCCAATAATGATAATATTGGTTTTCAGCTGGTCTCCAAATTCAACTACAAGGGCTACAAAATGTTTTAAAACAAAGGCATTACAAGAAATAATAAATTTATTACCTTTAAAAGTCCCAATTTGCATTCGACACTCATTTCAAGATAGCCCTTCTTCTCCATCTCCCACGCCCAAGTGCTATTGAACTCTTGGCACATCTGTCAGATAAACGTAATATTTAAATGCCTAAGAGCAATGATCATGGTATCTATGTCAAATTTTGTTAACTGTTGCTCATAATGCACATTTTTTTTTCATTCAAGAATATCAATAAACATTTATTAAACACCTAATATGTGACAGACATTGGGACTACAAAGATTAAAAAAAAGTACTCTAGTCTTCAAAGAATGTACAATTCAAGAGGATGAATTATAAAGATGATTATATCCCCAAGTTTCAAAAAGGCAATACAGTTTTATGTCAGAACCAATTTACTGACCCTAATACAGTGCCGCCAATGTTTCCTTCGTAAATGAATGAACATAAGCTGAGGAAAAATAATAGAAGGTAAACTTTTTGGCTAAAGGTGTATTTTTTAATATAGACAAGTTAAGGTACTCCTTTCTAAAATTATTACATTCTAACTTCTACAAAGACCTTTTAATTATTTGAAAACTTTCTTAATTTTAATTCTTAATGGAATAAGGTTCAAGTCTAGTATCTAAGATATGCTGGCTGTGTGACTTTGGGTAAATTAACTTCTGTGCCCCAAGAAACTCTGAAGACTCTAAGTCACAGAACAGTTGTCAATTTGTGGTCAAGGGAGTTTCTTGCAAAGATAAAACTACAGATTCAGATTAAAAAAGAAAAAAATAAACTATTCTCTAATATAATATAAAATATTATAAAATATAAAAGCATTCTCTAGTTAATCTACATCTTTTATATTTGTTAAAAATGTCATAGAGAAATTTTTTTGGAGGTATGGGGGGTCTGGCCCAGACTTGTAATTTCATTGATGGAGACTTACTTCCTTCCACTGAGGAAAATCAACAATAATCTACTAGGTGCTAGGGATACAAAGATAAAGATGAAACAGATTCTGCTCTTGGTGGAGTTACATAGACGCCTCATGAACTGCAAAACCCCAACTTTAGGCCTGCCAGCCACTCTCTCTGATCATATTGGTACACAGTTAGATACCACCAGAAGAAGTCACAGAACTCTGCCAAATGGGATCAATAAACCTTACACTCTATGATCTCAAGTGGGCTCTCACTTCTGCATGGTAATCTCATTATTCCTTGAGTATCTCTACAGCATTCTTCCACAACTTCTATTCCAAACATTCTCTTCTTATACAAGTTGCTTTCAGCCAAGGACCTTGCCATCTACTCTACCAAAAGAGTAGCAGGCCATGCATATCTGACCTGAGATCATTCCCCAGCTCCACATTTTAGTTCGTATGCTAATATAAAGAAAGCGTCCAAAAAGCAACTAGGATCACCTGAAGGATCTGGGGATATTGACTTGGAGAAGACTTATGAGTGATATGATCAATCAACAAACATTTATTAGTCAGTGAGTCAATAAGCATTTATTAAAGGCCTACCAAAGGCCAAACTATGCTAAGAACTAGGGCTACACAACATTGTGTGATGACCAACTTTGAATCTAAGACAATTCCAAAAGACTCATGATGGAAAATACCATCCACATCCAGAGAAAGAACTATGGCATCTGAATGCAGATCAAAGCATACTATTTTCTTTCTTTTTTTTTCTTGTGGTTTTTCCCTTTTGTTCTGCTTTTTCTTTTACAACATAACTAATATGGAAATATGTTTAATATGACTGTAAATGTATAGCCTACATCAGATTGCAGGCCATCTTGGGGAGAGCAGAGGGGAGGGAGGGGGAAAAATGAAGAACTCAAAATCCTATAAAAGTGATTGCCGAAAACTAAAACTTAAAAAAAAAAAAAAAAATAAAGTGTTACCAAACAAGAAACTAGGGCTATAAAAAAGGCCAAAAAGTAGTCCCTGCCCTTGAGGAGCTCACAACCTAATGAGGGAGACAACATGCAATAGGCAACTATGTTCAAATAAATATACTGTATTTTTGAGAATGGATAATGACTTCAGTTTTGGACATGTTGATTTTAAGATGTCTACAGGACATCTAGTTTGAGGTGTCTGAAAGACAGTTGGAAATGTGAGACTGGAAGCCAGCAGAGGTCAGGGCTGGATAAGTAGATCTGAGAATTATCAGCACTGAGATAATTAAAATCATAGGAGCTGATGAGATCACCAAGCAAATTAGCATAGAGAGAGAAGAGAAAACAGCCCAGACAGAGTCTTACTGGACACCCATAGTCAATGGGCTCAACTAATACAGATAAACACTTGAGCAAATGAGACTGAAAAGGAACAGTCAAATAGGAGGAAAACCAGGAGAAAGTGGTGTTCAGAAAATCTAGATGGAAGAGAATGTCAAGGAGAAAAGGTTGACTGACAGTGTCAAAGGCTGTTGAGAGCTCAAGAAAATAAAGAGTTTTCAAAAAAAGGCTATTGGATTTGGAAATTAAGAGATCATTGGTAACTAAGTACACATAGTGACACAGTTACTGTGTCTCAGGCACAAGGGATACAAAAACACTAAATTTGTGTACAAGGACCTTTCTCTGAATGAGGACAAGAGACTTTGTCCCAGACAAAATGCCAGGATTCAGGGTTAGATAATCTGAGCTCTTAATGGTTACTGAGGGCTCAGGTCTTTTTTTTTTTCCTTGCCTTTTCATGGGGCTCCTTCAATAAAGGACATATTTGTCAATGTTGATTTTCTCAGTCTCCTGGGTAAAATTCTGTAATGGAGGGCCATCAGGATGTTTAATTTTCTCTGCAATAATGTAGAGGGCTAACAAAGTTGATTTTCATTTTCACTCCCCAATGGGGACAGCTTTAGCTTCACCCCAGATCTGTCTCAATAGTAATGGGCAGATATAAAAATATTTATTTTGTCTCCCTTTCTGTTGCCTGTGTATGAAGCTCTGAGTCGGAGTAGGTTGAACTCGGGAGGTTAATCTATTATCTACATTGGTCAATCCTCTAGACTGGCTTAAATTTTATCTGTTGTTCTTGATCATGAAATGGGGCTGGTTGATTATTTAATGATAAGTTCATTCTATTCCCAAAATCTGAATGAGTTCTAGTTGGTTTCACCAATCTCATTTTAGATGTAGCCTACATGATTTTCTCCTTCCTCTTCTTTTTCCTGTCCCATTCTTTCCTTCTCACACTTTCTGTTAAAAAAAACAAAACAAAAACAAATCCAACTAAACTTTTTTTGGATGTCTTTTTGGCTTTACATCAAAGGACAGTATCTAGCACAATGCCTGGCATATAACAGGTGCTTAATAAATGCTTGTTGACTTGACTTTTTACATAACCTAAACATCAAAATAAGAATTCAGAAAGACTTTAATTTAAAAAGGCCAAGGTCTCCCCACTGCATCCTAGGCTATCTCCAGTTGTCTTGATTCGTATCTGGCTACTAGACCCAGATGGCTCTGGAGGAGAAAGTGAGGCTGGTGACTTGGCACAGCCCTGCCTCACTCAAACCCAATTCAACTTTAAGTTATAGCATCATCTTCCTGATGTCATCATGGTCCTCTCTGAGAACAAAAGACAAACCATAATTTTCCCCTGTAGCCTTTCCCTCCCACTTCCTTTCCAGAGAGCCATTCCATAACAAAGAGTCAGTCTTGTCTGTTGTCTGAACAAGGAATTCTTTTTTTTAATGCTAGAGGTAAGGGGAAGCCAGTGGAGTTAATTTAGCAAGGGAGTCACACAGTCAAAGTCGCAAAACTAAAGCTCTTTTCACTCTATGACATTGCTAGGCCAGTGTAAGGTATATGAGACTCCAAATGATCTTGATGAAGGCAGTAGATAGAATGATGGATTCAGAGACACAGACAAGTGATAGGTATAGTTTTGGACACTTGCTAAAATCACTCAACCTTAGCTGACTCATCTATCTAATAAGGAAAATAATACTTGCATTAACTGCATCATAGAGTTATTTTCAAGAATGTGAATCATAAACCGTAAAGCATGACATAAATGCTAGTTACTCAGATTTTCTTAAGGTGTAATTTAGATTAGTATATTTCTCTATTAAGCTTCATGCACCATACATTTCTCAAGCACTTATGTGCAATGTGACAAATAAGAAGACTAGGAAACAAGTTCTGCCTTTAATGGAGACTGGTTTAGTGGCCATGGACTTTTTAGTAGCTCTAGTACGAGGCATTTTCATCCTCACAACCTTTCAAACCTCTTCAAAGAAGGAATTACGAATAAGAGATATAAATAGTTTCAATTGTCTACATGGTCTAAGATACCAAGAATCCCAAGGCGGTAACAATCTGATGAACTAAACTGTAGAGAAGACTAATAATCTCTAACCCATTTATTCAGCAACACTCTCCTCACCTGACAACATACTGTGGAATGGCTGCTAAAAACAAAAAGCCAGAAGCTTACTCTGACTGGAATGATAGTACTCTGTGATGAAAAAGACAAAAACAAAAACAAAAAAAACACACAAAGTCAGCAAGAGAAATGAAGAACAAGAGGGAACTGGTGTGTGTGGTACTCCACCATGCCTTTAGGAAAAGGAACTGGCACCTAGCTGGGGCCAATTCTGTCCCACATGAGTCACTTGGGGCCAACTCAATGCAAATTCCTTAGCATGGGAGAAGGCTGACACAGCTTTGAAGTCTAGCCCTGAAGGAAACTGCTTTAAGAAGAGGAGTCAAAAAGTGAGCAACAGGAGAAATATGAGGGGCAAAGACTGAAATTACTAAAGATCTCAGGAGGAAGAAAAAGTTAAAGACTTTGAGCATAAGGATACAAATCAACAAGGAAAATACTAATAACAAAAGTGAATATGCCCTCCAGATCAGCTGTAAGTCTAAATACCTATGAATAAATACTGCGAGACAAAAAACCAAATGAATCAACACCTGATGAATTAGAGGACTCTGTGGATTCCCAAGAAAGTTTGGAACCACAGCAGGGTGTTCCTAAATGGTTTAAAAGAGCAATAAGAATTGTGAAAGCAAAACTGATACCCTGCACAGCCAAAATAACTGGTAGAACAGAAAAACTTGAATCCATAAGTGGCAACCCTCACCTAAGAAATAAAAGAGGGAA